GCTTTAGAAGTATTTTTAAGTTCCAACTCATCTAATTCTGAGAGCATTTTGATTTCTCCTTTCGTGTAAGACTATTTCCTCACCACAGACTTCTGAACTGCGTTTGAACTCACTCTCCAGCACAGGGGGACAGTGCAAAAATTGAGCAACAATCTACAAGAAGATGAAAAGGCGGGGGTTTATAGTCTGCAGAGACAGGGCTGAGGGCAGAGGAGAGGAGAGCTCAGCTTTCTTTTACTGAGCATTCTGTCACCTGTCTGTAAGGAGCAGAAAGCCCACGCAGAAAAAACATAGAAAACCCACGCGGAAAAGCGAACTAGCTAAGAAAGAGGAGGCTGTTAAAAGCAGAGTTCCGAACAAACACCACTTACTTTAAACATCAAAGAAAAAAGCCAGCAATAATGCAAGCCTAATAAGTCACAGAAAGCCTGGCAAAGGAAAGGTGCTCTCTTTTCCTTGCAGATCCAAGTTACAGAAGCCACGACTCCTGCGACTGCATCATTACTCAGCTCTCGATCAGGTCAGTTGCACAAAGGCTCATTAAATATTTACAGGTGACATTTTTCTGACTTGTGACAACCAGGATCAAGATAACCATCCGTCTTCTACAGCCATTCTGTTCAAGTAACTTTGAAAAGTCAACCAGCAAGAAAAGAACAAATAGCAACGGAGCATACAGGATAACAATTGCTAGGTTTTTGACCAGCTACAAATGAAAAATCTTACCCCCTGAAAGCCATAGAAAAATGGCCATAATTAGAGAAGGTTTCTTCAACAAATTTAGCACCTCTTGAAGAGTACAGGGCATCACTTCAGGACTAAGAACAAAAAGAATGACCAAGTGATCAATTTCTAATCACAGTAGTTGCTGGAGATTGTTCTGAATTGGCCAAGTATGGTAATGAGCTGATTTTTTATCTGAGATGTAAAGCAACAAGCAGAAGAAAGAAATCTCACACACATTAACACACATTTCCCACAAGACGATATCTCTGTAGAAACCCCGTGAATGTTGATTTCTCTGTGTCGTGCAAACACATTACCTGCACTACCCAGTACCTAGTAATGCACTAACAGAGCAAATTTCTTCTGTAAATGAGATGTAAATCACAATGCTGTGTGGAGAAGCTCACCATCGCCAAGATAAAACAGCCACCAAGTCTTAGTTCGTACATATAGGCATGCTCAACTACTTGGCAAAAAGGTTTCCATTACAGAAATTTCAGAGTTAAAAAAAGAAGGCGTGCTTGAGAATAGTGACGTTTTCTTCCCACAATCCTGGCATTACATTCCTTTTCTGACATGAACACTTGTGAAAGAAGTGGGATCACCAGTACTGCAGACACCCTACTACTAAAACCACATAACTGGTACGCTGACAGAAACACAAGTTCCCGTTACCAGAATATTCCAACCTCTTGTACCCGGGGACTTCTCAAAGCACTAATTCAGCTTTCTTGCCTTTGCAATTCATGGCCTCTCTGCACGAGCTTTTACCGGGCTCCCACAGGCACTGCTGGTCTTCAGAGCAGAGCTGGGACAGGGCTCTAACACCTACCCCCTTCACGCAGGGCACCGTGCAGTCACCAGCATGCAAGTCTTTTGGCTAGGTTAGAACCCAAGCCAGGAATCTGCTGGTAAAAAGCTCCAGTAATTCTGTACTAGTCCCAGCCCTCAGTCATTCTTAATTCATTCCGTTACTCTGTCCACAAAAATGACGAGTCGTGAAAAAGAAGCAAGAGAAGATGCTTCAGCCAAAGAAATCAAGTCCTACTTCACTGAACAGCCCTCTTGTTACCCTCTGGGTTTTGTGGCGTTGGGGGAATTGTGTCTGTGTTCTTAAATACAGGTCACACTTCAATTAAAGTTGAAAACGTTCTTTGCTGTGTGGCACAGGCACAATGCCCATGGTGTCTTCCTCAATCCAGCGCACGGCAGCCACAGAAAGAAGCACAGGAGAAGAGGGTTTCCTACACCTTACACCAGACTGACAGAAATAACTCAGTGCCATTGAGCTGCGTTGCAGACCAGAATAGCTCTGTCTCAGGGCTGCTAAAAAATGCTCCAAATACTTGGTTAAAACACTCTGTCATTTTAAAAATAAATCATCTTTATTTTTTATCTCTTCCAATCTACCTCCATAAATACATAAAATAAATTCTTTGTTGAGATCAAACACTTCTCAGCGTCTCAGTTTATGCAAGCAGTCAGGGTTTGCCTAATTCAGTTTACACAAGAGGTTAACACGGACAAGCAAAAGCTGAATGCCATTTACCAAGGGACAGCGTGGAAAAATACTCATTGCCTAGTTACAAACAAGGTATCACTGTGTTTAACTCAGCAGATACCACTTCCATTCTTTAACATTTCCTCACAGAACAAGTACCTAGCTATAAAATCCCCAACCCAGATGCTATAGGAATGCTGATTTCACACCTGATTTTCTCACAACCAGAATTACTTACAGATTAACTTTGCCCTGAAGCGGCAAAGCAGAGGTAGGAGGTGAACACACAACATACCTTTGCCACCGGTAATTTTTGCTGTACTGTGTCTACAGCTACTGCAGAATCATTTGTGAAAATCTACCTTAACACGAAATTGCGACGAACGCTCGAGGTACGGCTCTGCTTTTCAAACAGCGTGTTCTCAAAGCGGGCATGTGTTGTCTTTGCAGCAGGTCAATCTCTAAAAGCATACTAGCGACTTCAAACAGAACAACCGGAAAAGCAAGAAAAGCTGACATTCCTGAGCAAATATTGTTCTTTGTTGGCAACTACTCCTATACCTTGTGCTAGCTCAGCTCTGTCCCCATCCTGTGCCAGGGGCAGAGACTAGCATGAGCTATTCAGCAGTCGCTGAGAGGAGTTCTGACAGTTCTGGCCGCTCGATGTACAGCAGTGAAGGGAATCGTCGCTGCTACTTCTACTCTGAGCTTGGAGTAGAAAGCCAGTTCCCAAGCTCCAAAGCAGACAGTCATAAGCTATGTTGAGCTCCTCCGCCACAGCAGAGTGAAAAAAAGGAGGTAACCACTGAACCAACAGAGGCTTAGCACATGCACTCAAGGCCTCCTGGGTATGAAGAAAGCTTAAGACAAACCCCAGCTTTCAGCTAACAGGAAAAATTTGTGCAGACCAAGCACAAACTGTATTTGGATCGCTACTACAGAAGTGCACCATCGCAACTTCTCCCAGGCTCAGCTTGAACAAGAAGTAGTTAAGGGATTTAGAACTTCCTATTTAAAAAGACACCACAATCTCCTGTGGTAACAATCCATTTAAATAGCTAAGCATTTCCAGTACATCTAACACCTCAGTATGCCAGTGATGGGGGCTACGATACTAGCTAAAGCACTAACTTCAACCAGAAATAAGTGTTGAACTGAAAGAACTGAAGGTTTTGGTAGCACTGACAATGCTCATAGAGAAAAGCATAAATAAGATCGTTGTTGTGCAGGGTGAAGAGCTGCAAAAACTATAAATAAGCATGCTCCATACTGGGCTAGGAGAGAGATGAGATACAAGATCCCACCAGCTTTGAAGGCAGGAAATTGTCACCTCTTTCCTGGTTTTGTCTGGGACAGAGTTAGTTTTCTTTTTAGTAGCCAGAACAGCTGTGTGTTTTGGGTTCAGTATAGGATTTGTTATGAGAACATTGATAACACACTGATGTTTCCAGTTGTTGCTAAGACATCAAGGACTTTTCAGCTTCCCAAGTTTTGCCAGTGTGCAGGTATGCAACAAGCTTGGGGGGAGCACGGCCAGAGTGAAGGACCCACAACTCAGGATCTGAGTTTGGATTTAGGATTGAGGCCCATATTGGCCAATGGAATATTCCCTATCATGCAAGGTTATTTGGAGTATGAAGATGAGGGCTGGCCGGCAAGTCTCTCTTTGGGACTCTCGCTCTTCCGGGATTGCTAGCCAGGAGGGGCTGGGCATTGGTCAGTGGGTGGTAAGCAACTACACCGTGCATTACTTGTTTGTATATATTACTAATTTTATATATCATTATACATTATTTTCATCATTATTACTCTTTATTTTATTTCAGTTATTAAATTATTCTTATTTCAGCCCACGACTCTCCTTCCCTTTTCCCCTTTAATTCCCTTCCCCATGCCCCGGGGGTGAGGGAGGGTGAGCGAGCAGCTGTGTGGTGTTTAGTGGCTGGTCAGGTTAAACCACGACAACCTCTAATGCTTTTTTTTTTTTCCTCTGTACACATCGCACTGTGTTACAGTGGGAATTTCACCACTTCTCCATGTAGTAGAATGAAATACCTTTTAATTGTGCAATTTTCAGTCTTTCTGACGAGAAAACAAAGTTCAAGCAAAATAAACGGCGCTCCCAGATTAACTGAGAATCCTGGACCAGGAATGTTTTTCACAGGCTGTTGCAGGCCTCTCAACAGGAACAACCAAGGCAGTTACTCCTCCAGCTCCTCCTGATGGCAAACGATAAGCATAGCACCCTAAGAAGGTACTGGGATGAGAATGTTGATGTCATCATAGAATCATCATACAATGAAGACCTACGCACATGACCAAAATACAGTTTGGTGAAAGACAACACCTGATTTGACCAAATGCTATGATCAGCAGAGGGGTGGCCTCCTCTGAGTCTGTGACAGAAAACTCGAAGCTGAGCAGCAGTTGAGGCCAATGGCTCTGCTTTAAACTGCCTAATTAGTTAAGGAAAAATGGAGAATGACACCTATGGAACAGAGGAGGGATGTTACCACTGAGAGGTGATTAGGCTGTCAGGCCTCGCAAGACAGAAGAGAGATTGTTAAGGCGGTCAAGGATATAAGGTTTGAAAATGGCTGAAGATGCAAAGGGTGACTTCCATTTATACATTCATCATCTCAAGAACTAACACAGCTGCCTGGGTTACCTTTTCTCTTAAGAAAGAACAAAAAAGAAAGCAATCCAAATGATGATGAACAGAGAGAAAGCATACAGGAAAATAAAACAAAACAAAACACACAGAGATACCCTATAGGTATCAAACATTTTATTTATTTGTTAAAGAAACTACAGCAATATACATGATTACAGAATTATGAAGCACTGTAAAACAGAAGGAATGAAATGGCCTAGGTCCAAGCACTAATGACCTCACACCTTTTCTTTCATGCCACCATCACTCAGAAAAATTACATTATCTGAAAAGAAATAAAGAAAATTTCATCTTCAGCATTGTTTTGCCCTGTTGCAAGCCTGCACACCCACAAAGACTACCTATTTGTGTTAAAATAAGCTGCAAAGATATGTATTTCAGAACACAATAATTCATAAAATAAAATGGTGTCCGATACAGGGTTCTTGCTCTATCTCCCCAGAAAGCTGACACTTCAAGGCGACCATAAATACTATGACACAAGTACGCTAAACCTGATGAAAAGCTGCTGAACAGTCAAAGATACCAGACACATTTTAAAATAATGATTTAATTCTTTGCCTATGATCTCTATCCGCTACAGTTTATTTCCTTTTTATTTCGTCATTTTCAGTATGCACTACCATGTCATCAGCTTATGGGACTACAGGAAGCTCGTACTTCATCAAGCCTCAGTGATTTCTAAAGCATTTTGAGACTGAGGATATTGAACGTGAAAAAGAAACCATTAGGATAAATACTAATTAAAAAAAGATACTTACTTCTCCTCTCCAGCTATTTATAAATAGCAACCTACAGCACTGCTAGCTGAACTCTTCATGTGAAAGTCTGATAGCTATTGTTTTAAAGAGGCTGCACAGCAGAAACATCCAGAATTGTGGCTGGCTTTTTCCCTTCTCCTCTGGCCCAGTTTCTTTAGCTATACTTTGCAACAAAAATGTTTGCTCTACTACCCCATTATTTCAGCCCTCCCTCAAAAGCCACAAGACAGTGGCTCTACCCACAAAGATGCAGGATGCTCATGCTATTTAAAGGCTCAAGGAAAAAGTTGAGTTTCCCAGTTCTCTTTTTCATTGTGTTTACCCAAGGGACAAGACTACTCCCTATCCCTTCGGTGCTCTTCTTACCATTACTGGCTACCAGACTGAGATCTTTCTAAATTCTCCATCAGGTTATCCCCGCATAAAACATCTTTCACAGAGGTCCTTAAAGTCGGTGAAGCCTCCCAGGCTTAAACAGGAAGAAAAAATTCCAGGCCAAATCGTGACAAAGCTAGTAAACAAACTCTGCTTAGAAATCTGCCTGACCTGCAGTACTGCATACCAGTGTTCTTAAAACACACAGTATCTACCTCCTGCACCAACCGGTTTGTGTGAACCAACTATGCAACAGTTTGCAACTATATGCTCTCATTTTCCGTGTCCCCACAAGCAGTGCCAGAGGACATCTAGTGGTACAGCCTATTCATTCCCTCAAAATCCCCAAGTGTGGATGCTGAGGATGAAGACAAACTAAGCTGTTTCAAAGGTCCTCCACCCCCTCTCCATTTTAAAAGGGCAAAGTAGGCCTTGGTATGTCCTTCCTTACCTGCTATAATTGTTGTGGCCTGTCGCCTCACATTGTTTTTATCTGTATATTCACCATAGTCTATCTTCCCTTCAACATAGAGTCGAGAACTGTAAAAAAAAAAACAAACACATAATCAAGAATTCGTATCTCTCTGAAGAGAACTGTGCTACTGTTTTCTTCTCTGACTCTCAATACACAGGCTTTTGTCTCACTTATTTGTAGCGGGTCTGCTAACTTATTTGATGACACTTCTACCTTAGCATAGCTCCTAGTCACCATAATTATTACAATAATCAATTATTAAGGCATTAAATCCTCAACTACATTTGTTGTTTACTTACCCTTTTTTCACATACTGATACGTGACATCCCGGAGGCCCGGTCTGAAGACAGAGATCCTGTGCCACGTCGTCTTCTGACTGATATCACCTAAGTGACATAAAAATAACAAAGTTTACTGCCAAATCCTCTTTTTGATGTAAGTCTCAGAAATTAGTTTCAGTATGTTGGTGTTCCCAAATTACGAAAAGTGATTTGAAAATGAAAGTATACTAGCACTCAATCTCCCACTCTGTACTAGAACTCAATGTTTCACTCATCTGTGTCCAAATGAAAGTATCGTGCAGAAGCACGGTTCAAATCAAGAGATCAGTTTTCCTGGAAGCCAGTGCTCATACTAGATTTTTTTTTTCCCCCTCACACACTCTGCATTGAACAAAAGTTAGAGAAAAAGAGACATCTGTAGCTATAGACCGGTGGAAGAATCAAAAAGAAAACATACTTTTCATTTTCTTTTTTTCTCTTGGAATACAAGTAAGAGTACAGAACCTGCTACACCTCTGGCAATCCCAACAGTGAAAAACTGCCGACTCAACGCACTTTTCTCTCCTCCAGAGGAAGGTTGATGTGCAGATCTCTATTCAGTACATGCTGCTGAGGATCAGTAAGAGACACACAAATGCACCAGCATCTCTACTGACCACAAAGGAACTTCCCTGCACCTGAGAGATTTGCATGACAGCCCGAAGACAAAGTGTGGTGCTACCGAATATGCAAACATGACGTCAGAACATGGCAGAAGCACATTGCTGATTACAGACTCACCTCCCTGGGTTACCTCACTTTCCCCTGTTCGCCACATCTCATTGGTTGCAAGAGAAAATATGGTAACAGGATTTTTTCCTTCCACTTGCCTCATGATAGGGTCTTGTCCAACCCGACCAAGTAACTGAACACGATTCATGGCTGAAACGTGAGAGTAAATACATACACAGGTGAATCACGATACTTCTAATCACAGCAAGTCAGAAGTCGGCAGTTTTTTTCAAGCCAGAACTACAACTTTCTGCACCTCTTAGTGCAGAAAGCTCTTGTGACTTTTGGCTTATTCAGGCCCTGCAGGGGGTTGACTGTGCATGTACTATCGTTATCACTGTTGAATAAGGTAATTTAGAAAGCTAAAGGTTCTTTATTCTTTCCATTCCTTCATCATCTTTTTCATAGACACATCCATATGTCACCTGAGACTATTTTGCATTTATTTATCTTGACTTTTATTTTTTTCATTATAATAAAACCATAGCGTTGCACTGTTTTGTCCTCAAAACAGTACCTTTAAAACAACAAAGTTGCATTATTACACACCATCCTCTAAATTAGAGGGTCATGAGTTTTTACACACGTATCAAAACTAGGTAGACAGAATTTATTCCTTCTCCTCGTCCAAGGACAACTGGAGGAGGTCAGAGAAGCATCACTTTTGCACAAGGAGCACGTGAACGGAATGGAAAAAGTCTGAAGCAAATCATGCTGGGTCAGTACCCCAGGCACATGGGAGTCTGGGAAACAAGCACATGAGACACCTAAAGGCAGGTATTAGAAAACGTGACAACAGCATATCTGACTCGCTCCCATTGATAATGCAGGACTACCTGCGTTTTACAGGTTGTACTGCATGTCAGGGCTTTTTTCTCTTCCCCCTTAAAGGCTGCTTGACTTGACAAAGACCAGATAGGAAGCTACTTAAGAGTCTGTTTGTTTGAAATAACACATTCTTAGCTACTGCATTCAGGAGCTACCATTCCTATCTGTTTCCCTCCTAGCATATTTCAGCCATTCTAAAACTGAGATAAAAATCACAAAGAGTAACAGCTAAGTTTCATCTTGGGAGCTACTTACATCTTTCGAGTACCAATGAGCCAACTGTATCAGACTCATGCCTTACAAACTGGCGAAGCACCTGAAGGAACAGACAGGTGTTAGTTTCCAAGACACAAAGTACGAACAGCATTCACATGGTTTTACACCTTGTTTTCTGAACACTTACAGAGGTTTTTCAAGTACGTTCTTTTCTGATGACTTATGGGGGGACTGAGGGAAGAAACCCGTTCAGCTAAATGAAGCCAACAGAATTATTCAAATAATATCTGGTTAAACTGGAGTTAAAAAACTGCCTAGGAAAAAGCATAGCCCAAAGGTACGTCTCCAGCAATTATTTTTGGCCAATTATCAAGGCCACAAAAACCTGAGTGCTGCAGCTGAACACAAGCGAGAAAAAGAAAAAAAAATTACTTGATGCCAGCAAGTATCATGTCCTAGAATAAAGGAAAAGAAAAGCAAAGCCCAGGAACACCTCTGCAAGAGGCCCATGCACAGGAACTGGAAGAAAAGCTCACCTCTTATAACAAGTGGTTGCAAAACTTAAAGGAAGGTGAGACTGACAGTCCTGTATTGAAGAGAGGAGCTAAACCAGAGGAAACGCAACTTGTGAAACCAAAGTTCTTTGGTACGTGTGTACGCTTCGTTGATGCACATGCAAATCATCTAAGACTCATTCTGTGCACAAGCTGGATCTTTTAATACATCATTTTTTTTCAGTAACTGAGTAACTAAGGCCCAGAATTCATATTCTTGCAGAGTACGAGTGCAAACAGAACCTCCCTTTTTTCTTCATGGGTAGTGCCATATATTTTTCGGGAAACGACAGAAATAACACCTGTGACCTGACAGGCTCATGAGAGAATCCACGTTTTTGTGGGGTTGTGGTTTTTTGATTGTTTGTTTGTTTTTCCCCTAAGGGCGGATGCAGCGCTGCAGCAAAGGCACCAGCAGCTGCGGCTGGTCCGTGCAGGAAAAGCCCCTGGCAGGCAGCGCGGCCGAGGCCCCCAACGCCCGCTCCGGCAGCAGAGCTCTCCTCCGGCCCTCGCGGCGCAGGCGACTGCCTTCCCGGCCTGGGGGCACGGCTCCGGGACCCTCCCTTATTCCCGCACCTCGCGCGTGATACCGCCGCGAGCGGGGACGGGAG